TGGAAAGCTTGAGCCCCAAACCCCCCTTCCGTTAACGACGCAACGTACACGAGTGGTGTGTGCTTCCGCCCTAGGTGTCAGCCCCGCCTCGAGACCTTCTCCGGGAACCCCGACGAGCCCGACTGCTCTTACCAGTGGCCTGAAGACTCCTGTCGTGGGGACTCCATCTGCTCCTTCAAACCCGTTAGCGAATATTCTCTCCAAAGTCGAAATAACTCCTGAAAGTATTCTGTCGGCTCTCTCCAAAACCCAGACTCAGACCGCACCAGCCCTGCAAGGTACCGGCGTGGGTTTGGAGGGAAGGGCTCTAGCGGGGTGCTTGATGGCGGCGGCCGCGCTGAAGCGTGCTGCCCGGCTTATCCTGGAGTGACAGTGGAGGGAGAAAGACCGGATTTGGAATGTGTGGCGGCTTTGGCGAGTGCGGGTGGCTTGTTCTCGGGGAGCTCCCCTCTTACGGACCAGGGAGTTCTGGGACTTGGCTCCACGTCTTCGTATTTTCGCCGCGACCGAAGGGCGCCGAGCCAGAACGCTCTGCGGAAGGGCGCTGAGCGGGGCAGGAGACCGAGAGGTGTCTTTGTGGTTTCCCTCTTCTTCTGGGGGCGCTTGTTCCGAGCAGAGGTGCTGCTCCTTGCGTGGGTAACCCTGGTCCGGTAGCGCGGTGGTTTTACACCGGGCTCTGAAGCCGGGACGAGCCATTACCCAGCTTATTCAGGTGTATGTTGTAATTTGTACTTCGAGATCAATCTGAGCCTCTGGCAAAAGTTTCCACCTGGGTGGGTGCTAACCTTGATGTTAACGCAGCAAAATCCGGTCGTTTTCCTGGCCAAAACAGCGAGGTCGTGTTAAGGAACGACACCGAGACCTTTCCCTTGACAGCGGCTCAGGCTGACTTGCCTCTCTCGCCCGAAGGTCTGAACGCAGCTTCTTTTTTTTTTTTCCCAGGTCTGTCGTCCTTGCTTCAGAGTGTTGCTGGAAACACCGTTCAGTCGAGCGAAACTGCCTCGCAAAGCACTTCGGCGTCGCCAGCCAACACGACTGTTCCTTGCGTGAAGGGGAGGAACGTCCCTTCCAGCACTCAGTCCTTTATATCCAAAAGTTTTGGTTATTCTCCGAACTCGTCTACTGCTGAGGTTTCCTCGACTTCGGTTAACAAGGCTCCCGTTGGACACACCCCAGGGCTGTCGGGCTCCAGTTTTAAGCCGCCAACCAATTCCCTGGGATTTTCCGGTTCCCACCCTACCAGCCCTTCCTCCCTTTTGCCGACAGAAACCTCACTGGGTCAGTCCTCCGAAATTTCAAAAGCGAAGCTGGAATCGGAACCCCCTTCTCCCAGCCTGGAGATGAAGATCCACAACTTCTTGAAGGGAAATCCCGGCTTCAGCGGCCTGAACTTGAATATCCCGATTCTCAGCAGCTTAGGGTCCAGCATCGCAACGGAGAGCCACGCGCCTGACTTCCAGCGTGGTCCTACCAGCACTTCCATGGACAATGTGGACGGGACGCCGGTGCGCGACGAGCGAAGCGGGACGCCCACGCAGGACGAGATGATGGATAAGCCGACGTCGAGCAACGTCGACACTATATCCCTCCTGTCAAAAATCATGAGCCCCGGCTCTTCTACTCCCAGCAGCACGAGGTCCCCTCTTCAGAGCCGGGACGACGGATATTCCCAAGAACTCCCCAATTCCGTGCACACCTACCGGCCCTTCGGCCTCGGCAGAGAGTCTCCGGCCAGCCTGTACAAGCAGCCCACAGACAGCATGGAGATACCCTCCTCTTTAATGGACTCCTCCCAGGAGAAGTTTTACCCAGACACGTCTTTCCAAGAAGACGAAGATTATCGCGACTTCGATTACTCCGGGCCGCCGCCGTCGGCCATGCTGAACCTGGAGAAGAAGCCCGCCAAGTCCATCTTGAAATCGAGTAAGCTCTCCGAAGCCGCAGAGTACCAGCCGGTCCTGCCCAGCTACGGTCAAAGATCGCAGGAGTTCGGCGTGAAGTCGTCCTTCCCTCAGTCCATGAGGTCTATCCTCGATCAGAGCGAGAGCTGCGACCCGCTGGCCTCCTCCCCCGGGATCTACGGGAGCTACGGCCTCCGGGGAAACGACTCCACCTCGGACGGCTCCCCCTCGCCCAGCAAGAACGACGTGTTTTTCGCACCGGACTCCAACCACAACAACTTACCCAAGTCGGTGGTGCACTCTGGCCTCTCCCAGAAGCAATACCCGGACTCGCCCCACTCGATTCCCCACCGCTCGCTTTTCTCTCCTCAAAACGCCCTCTCCAGCCCCGCCGGCAGAGCGCCGGCGGCGAGCGTGGAGAAATCGTTGGGTTCTTCCATTTCCGCCACCTCGACCATCGAGTTCAAGAACATGCTCAAAAACGCCTCCCGTAAGCCCTCCGAGGAGAAGCATTTCGGCCAGATTTCCAAAAGCAGCTCCGGCGAGGGGGTGGGCTTGTCCGGCCACGGCCCCGCCGGA